TGACTTGGGAATTCCGATGGAAATTTCCTCAAATTCGATGATCAATTGAGGTCCTTGCTACGAAGGATGCTGTCGTGTCCCGGGCAGCTGCTTGTTGCTTATGCCTCTGAACTTCAGCAAAGGTGAACGGGGCTTGTTTTTCATTGTATTCCATTATTTATTCAACTTTTCTTTTTGAATAGGGCATCCATTTTTTATCTGTTTGCTGAGATATATGATCAACGTCTTGAAGTTGTTCAAGGGGGAGAAAAATTTTGAACATCAAAATGTGACAATGAAACAAATTCTTTAATTTTTGGGTATACTTTTTGTGTGTATGTGAAAATATTAAAAAAAAGGATAAAATTAGTTATATATAATATTACCTACAGTGTCAATTTTTAATGTTTAAATAATAAAACTGTTATTCTAAGTGAGCCAAATGAAAATGCCTATTTTGTGAAACCAGCAAGAAACATGGATAGTGATGCGAGCATTAAGAATAGAGAGGCGCGATAAAATTTTGAATTTCTTATTGATAAAAGATGTGACGGCCTTTGAATTTGACTTGTCATATGTTTCTCGACTTTGTTTATTGTCTTTGTCGCATGCTATTGATATTCATAATTATAATTTATCAAGTTTTATATATTCGTATATTTAATTTTCAGTTATGGCTTAATATTTGGTAATGTTATTGTATGGAAATTATTTACGGTTATAAAATAAAAATCGTATATGTTGGACTAAAGTTATGGAAAGGAAAACGAGATGAACTTTGTAACATTAGAAAATTGAATTTGGTAGGGTTGTGTTGTAAGGCATTGGATTATTTATGATGACGCCAATCAGTTAAGACAACAAAATTGTTATGAAGTTTTCACCAACGTGCTCTGTCTCTCTCTCTCTCTCTCTCACAGCACGCATGTCAACACAAGACACAACATCTTTGAACTTTTATGAAGTAGATTACCTTGTAGTAAGTATCCCTTCATCAATTGTGGGCCCGTGACTTTCAAAATTCCCTTTGAACCAGGTGGAAGAACTTCATCACTCTCAGAATCTACAACTTTGAATTCTGTATTCTTAATTGGATGCCCAACAGATCCAATAACCTTCAAAAGATTTCATCTTTAACATTCTGATAAAGCCAGCATTCTTTGCAGACCCAAATAACAAACTAATTAGAAGAGTGCAGAAAATAGTAACTATTATGAATTTCACGCTCCAGATAAGCTTGACAAAAGGTGAAAGATTTACAGCGTGGTTACTATTAACAGATTAGCTAGAATGGGTATCTTTTGACAATCATATTGTACGAGAATAATTATCCACAAAAGTAATCAAATATTTAAAAGTAAATTTAGAAGTAATTGGGCAATGACCCCAAACATCAGACTGAACAATTTTAAAAAGAGCATGAGTCCTTTTATTTAAAGGAGGTAAATAAACATTACGATGATGTTTAGCAAACTAACATGACTCACAATAAAAATTAGACTATATTAAGACATAATTTCCTAAGAACTCCTAAAGACGGATGACTCAGACGGCAATGAAGTTGGAAAAGAGACATTGTTTCATTCCTAGACACAATAGAACTTGCGGAAGTCCTTCTTCTTCCAATAGATACAGCCTATTAGATACCCTACCTTTATTAATAATCCTCTGTGTCATTAGATCCTGAAAAACACAAGAATTAGAAAAGAATGTTACTGAGCAATTTAATGATGAAGTAATTTGGCTAATGGACAACAAATTTAAGGAGAATTGAGACAAATATAAAACAGAGAATAAATGTAAGGTTGAAATTAGAGTGGTACACCCGCTGTCTTAATATGGACAGTAGAACCATTAGCGAGTATTACAGAAGAATGAGAACTAAGTAGACAAAAAGAGAAAAGGATATCTGAATCTCCAGTCATATGATTAGTAACGCCTGGAAGAAGAAGAAAGACATGCGGTAAGATTACCTTTTCGGACCAAAGTAGCTGTAGAGGATGTAGATAGTTATTGGAAAATCTAAAACTTAATATACTGAATAAATTCCTCATCACTCATACGAACAATACGTCATTCTTTCTCCTGAGTAGCTATATTAAGTTGAAACACCGAGTTAGCGAAGCAAAAATTACATTGTGATTTGTAAAGGATGAGTGTACTGATTCTAATAATGGCCAAATTCGGCATAGTTGTAACACTGTACAATACCACGACCTTTACTACGCCCACGACCACAACTACCTTTACCACAATTGCAACCACCACTATGACCGTATTGGGTTGCCAAGGCAAAATGGTCAGGAGACTCATTTTTTGTAGTGCTCTTGAGCTCCTCAAAGGAAGCCTGCATAACTTTGGAAAAGACATCGATAAGATTATCAACCTGCTTGCTTAACAGAATCTGAGACCGAACTACCTCATATTCCAGATCAAGTCCAGAGAGCTAGCTTAAAGCCATGAGTTTTTTTTGTTGTGCTTTCATCTCATCAATAATTTTGCAGGGAAAAAGAGATAATATCTCCTCAGTATGCTTCTTAAACTCCAAAAAATAATCCATTAGCTTCGGCTTATTTTGTTTGGGTTGATAAACTTCCTACAAAGAGCATATAACATATTCAAATTATCATATTTCTCAAAAATAAATTGCAAAAAATCTCATAACTCCTTCACAGTTTTGCAATGGGTAATAATTGCTTGTATTCGTCTATCAACAGAGTTTACTAGCAACGCAAGGATCTTTTTGTCACGTATCTTCCATGTGTCAACATCCTTAGAATTGACAGGTACTATTTTAGTCAAATGATTATCCTTTCCCATTCCACCCAGACTAATCTCAACTAAATACTTCCACTCCATATAGTTCGTACCATCTCCATCCAGCTTAACAGCGGTAAGTTTGGATAGAGATACAATCTCCCTAACAACCCTCTTGTGCTATGCATCCTGCACATCCTGGCTATCACGTTCAAACATTGTAACGCCGCACTCAAATTGTAAACGTTGAATTATTACATATTCTGGTCGCCAAAAAAATTTTCCATTCCCATTCCACCCAGACTAATCTCAACTAAATACTTCCACTCCATATAGTTCGTACCATCTCCATCCAGCTTAACAGCGGTAAGTTTGGATAGAGATACAATCTCCCTAACAACCCTCTTGTGCTATGCATCCTGCACATCCTGGCTATCACGTTCAAACATTGTAACGCCGCACTCAAATTGTAAACGTTGAATTATTACATATTCTGGTCGCCAAAAAAATTTTCCATTCCCACAGCAGCCATGATTGGCCTTTTTTGAAGCTGTTTTTTTTTTTTTTTGTGGCGGCGGCGGCACGGTGGTGATGCTGCAGTGGTGGCGACCAAGGAGAGAACCTATAAGGCTCTTGGTACCATGTAGAGATTAAGAGAGAAAGAACATAGAGAGAGAGAGAGAGAGAAATAAATTAGTGTGCTAAAATTGGATACTCTACAATGAGTAGAGACCCTTATATTTATAAGGATACATATATAATTCTATTAGGCCAAGTCCGTTATTATAATATTAAAATAAACCCTAATCCTAATACATCTATTCTAACTATTCATAACACATTACAACTAAGCCGTTAAGCAACAACAACTGGTGAAATTTCTGTTAATAATTTATGTTAATATTAAAAAAGATATAGAAGTTATGTTAGTAGATGTTGAGTATGATTTTGATTAATAATTAAAAAATGATGTTATATTTTTTGTAAATATTTATTTTATATGTGTGTAATATATATATTTTTATTTTTATTTTTTTAATATAAATTAATATGAAATATAGTAGTATGTTAGTATGTATTAATAATAATTTAGTTTTTTATTATTTATATAAATAAGTATAATTGTAATTATTGACATTGTATTTTTTATAAATATAGGATGAGTGATATTATTATTATTGTCTATTGTAATGAAAAAATTGATGTGGGAAACGAAGGTGTGACATTTAAAGATAACAAAAAAATGATAAAGATACGAAGACGAATCAGTTTTATGAATTTGAAAAAAAAGATTCATGACAAGTTGAATCTTAGTAATAGTTACTTTATATCTAGAATAATTTCTCGTTTTATGGTTGATTCAAGCGTTAAACAATACACTGTATTGAATATATGTCATGATGAAGATATTGATTGTATGATTAGTACATACCAACAACAAAGTATTACTACAACTGTTATTGAATTATATGTGGATATTACATTTGGTGAAAGTTTAAGGGTTGGCTCAAATATATTAGACTTAAGCTTATCAATGTCATTGCTTAACCTTATGAAATTAGAAAATATAAATGTTACAGAACATATAAATTATACCATTATAATGATTTTTTTTTTTTTAGTAATGACACATATTGAATAAGTGCAGATTTTTGAAGGATGTGTCGGTTCTATAAACATTGGCAACAGTCGGGTCTAAAAACAACAGTACTAGCGGCAATATAAGTGGAGCTAGAGACTGTTCTACAGTGGACGAATTAGATGACTCTGCTCACTCAAAAATGATGCTAAAACGACCAAAAAGCAGCTGCTGCTACTGTATGTGAGAAGGGAGAAAAGAACCGTGTGGTGACTGTTGCCTCTCATGACTAGCTCAATCAAGGGCTTTCATCCTTGACTAAGACAAAATAGTAATTTCGTTTGACTCGGGGACAAAAGTCCCTGATTGGGCCACGTGTTAACAAAGCAAAAAATTTAAATTTAAATTTTTATTTTACTTTTTTATCTATATTCTATACGAAATAGTGGATATACGTTATGTTCTGGCGTAATTTATTCTTATTTTAGATGAAATGGATAAATTAAAAATAAAAAAAATTGATTTTATTTTACTTAAATACTCAATATGACTTTGTGGCAAAAATTTATTCAAGAGAATATATACATATTATTTTAGTAAATAATTATTAAAAAATTCATTAAGCCGACGAATGTGAGTTTTAACAATAAGAATAAAGTACGATTAGCAAACCAAAATTATGAGCTTCGTGAATGTCATTCTCTTCCTCTGTCCATGCACTTCAATCTCAACTCTGCTCCACGGCTCGCCGGAGCCCATTACTGGCAAAGAAGCTTCACGCAAAGATCATAAAAGCTGGTATCAACCGACACGAACCCTTCCCCAAAACTCTTTTAGACGCATACGGCAAATGCGGTCTCATCCAAGACGCACTTCAAGTGTTCGATACATTGCCCCGCCCAGACGTCGTTGCATGGGCCTCCCTCCTCACCGCCTGCAACCTCTCCAACCTCCCTCACCGTTCTCTCTCCATCTCACGCTCCATTCTCAACACTGGGTTGTTCCCCGACCACTTCGTCTTCTCCTCCATCGTCAAGGCTTGTGCTAACTTGGGTGCTCTTCATGTGAAACAAGGGAAACAAGTGCATGCTCGCTTCTTCCTCTCACCCTTCTCTCACGATGACGTTGTCAAGTCATCGTTGGTTGATATGTATGCGAAATTCGGGTTGTCCCATTATGGGCGTGCCGTTTTCGACTCCATTTCTTCACCGAATTCGATTTCTTGGACTGCCATGATATCTGGGTACGCGCGGAGTGGGAAAAAGTTTGAGGCTTTTCGACTGTTTCGTCAAACGCCGTATAGGAACTTGTTTGCTTGGACTGCTCTGATTTCTGGGATGGTGCAGAGTGGGAATGCGGTTGATGCTTTCAACTTGTTTGTTGAAATGCGGCGTGAAGGGATTAGTGTAACAGACCCGTTAGTTCTTTCCAGTGTGGTTGGTGCTTGTGCTAATTTAGCCGTTTTGGAGCTTGGGAAACAGATGCATGGTCTGGTTATAACCCTTGGCTATGAGTCTTGCTTGTTTATTAGCAATACCCTTGTAGATATGTATGCCAAATGCAGTGATCTTGTTGCTGCAAAATATATCTTCTCTGAAATGTGCAGAAAGGATGTAGTTTCTTGGACTTCAATAATTGTTGGCACTGCTCAGCATGGGCAAGCTGAGGAGGCATTGGCTTTGTACGATGACATGGTTTTGGCTGGAATTAAGCCAAATGAGGTGACCTTTGTTGGGTTGATCTGTGCCTGCAGTCATGCTGGTCTAGTTAGCAAGGGCCGTGCTGTGTTTAGGTCTATGGTTGAAGATCATGGGATTAGGCCATCTCTGCAGCATTATACTTGTTTGCTGGATCTTTTTAGTCGATCAGGACACCTTGATGAGGCAGAGAATCTCATTAGAACAATGCCAGTGAATCCGGATAATTCAACTTGGGTTGCTCTGCTGAGTGCTTGCAAGCAGCATGGGAACACCCAGATGGCAGTTAGGATTGCTGATCATCTATTAAATTTAAAACCAGAAGATCCTTCTTCTTGTATTTTGTTATCTAATGTATATGCTGGGGCTGGTATGTGGAAGAATGTTTCGAAAGTGAGAAAGTTAATGATGGCCATGGAAGTTAAAAAGGAACCTGGTTATAGCTGCATTGAATTGGGAAAGGAAAGCTGTGTGTTTTATGCTGGAGAGACTTTTCATCCAATGAAAGATGAGATCGTAGGATTAATGAGTAAGTTAGATGCAGAGATGAGAAAGAGGGGTTATGTTCCTGATACTAGCTCAGTTTTCCACGACATGGATCAACAAGAGAAAGAAAGACAACTTTTCTGGCATAGTGAGAGGTTGGCTGTGGCTTATGGGCTTCTTAAGGCTGTTCCAGGGACTATTATACGTATAGTGAAAAATCTTCGTGTTTGTGGAGATTGTCATACTGTTCTGAAGCTCATCAGCACTATAGCAAATAGAGAAATTTATGTCCGAGATATCAAAAGATATCACCATTTTAAGAATGGAAATTGTTCGTGCAATGACTTCTGGTGACTTGGGAATTCCGATGGAAATTTCCTCAAATTCGATGATCAATTGAGGTCCTTGCTACGAAGGATGCTGTCGTGTCCCGGGCAGCTGCTTGTTGCTTATGCCTCTGAACTTCAGCAAAGGTGAACGGGGCTTGTTTTTCATTGTATTCCATTATTTATTCAACTTTTCTTTTTGAATAGGGCATCCATTTTTTATCTGTTTGCTGAGATATATGATCAACGTCTTGAAGTTGTTCAAGGGGGAGAAAAATTTTGAACATCAAAATGTGACAATGAAACAAATTCTTTAATTTTTGGGTATACTTTTTGTGTGTATGTGAAAATATTAAAAAAAAGGATAAAATTAGTTATATATAATATTACCTACAGTGTCAATTTTTAATGTTTAAATAATAAAACTGTTATTCTAAGTGAGCCAAATGAAAATGCCTATTTTGTGAAACCAGCAAGAAACATGGATAGTGATGCGAGCATTAAGAATAGAGAGGCGCGATAAAATTTTGAATTTCTTATTGATAAAAGATGTGACGGCCTTTGAATTTGACTTGTCATATGTTTCTCGACTTTGTTTATTGTCTTTGTCGCATGCTATTGATATTCATAATTATAATTTATCAAGTTTTATATATTCGTATATTTAATTTTCAGTTATGGCTTAATATTTGGTAATGTTATTGTATGGAAATTATTTACGGTTATAAAATAAAAATCGTATATGTTGGACTAAAGTTATGGAAAGGAAAACGAGATGAACTTTGTAACATTAGAAAATTGAATTTGGGAGTGTTGTGTTGTAAGGCATTGGATTATTTATGATGACGCCAATCAGTTAAGACTATTTTGAGAAACCAACTTCAAATGTAAGTGAACAGCATTTTCCATTTTGTAAGAGAATATAATAACAAAAGAATTGGCATATTAACTTTTGACGAAGAAACAGTATTTTCCACACCTTAAGAAGAAACAAGAATATGGTAAATGGAAAAAGGATTTCCTACTTTCAATATACATTAAATACGATCTTGGGCCATACCATTGGCATTGGGTTGTAAATTTACTTGTATAGATTCTCTATTTGGTCCCTGTATTGAGCCACAACTCTATCCCTTCGAATTTTCATGGTGGGTGTCATTAGCCCATTATCAATCTGTCATTACACTAAAAAGATTAATCAAATGAGTCTGTTATGTAAATAATATGAAGATAGACAATACTGTGAAGTTCAATCTAACCGTGAAGGGGTCGTCTACGAGAAGGATTGGCCCAATTTGAAATGGAGACTCTGAGGTCCTGCACAACAAAGACAGCAAGCGAAGGGGCAAAAGAAACCAGACAAGAGTTTAGGAAGGAAAACTAGTTAGATAAAATTGTTTTAAAATATTTTTCTCAATAAATATATAAAAAAGAAACAAATAAGTCCTTGTTTCTTCCCTTTTTTGTTCGGAAAGAACATAACTGCGTTTTTGCTTCTTAAAGAATCTAGTTATGGAAAGTCTAGGGTGAAGCATTCCCATCCTTGTCCTCGGAAAAAAAATTACAAAGAAAAACACCCGTCATCCTCTTTCATACGGCAGCATAAATTATGCTCATCTATTCCTTATCTATTGTAGAAGGCCCTAGGAAAAATATGGAAGTTGAAGAATCTAAGGTTCATCATACAAAACATTGAGAATCAAAGGGAGATATAAATCTAAGGATTCAAGCGAGATTAGACGAAATCGAGGAGTGTTTCAGGTATTAACTACAACAAAAAAAGTTGTCCCTCAAGTTTAAAGAGAAATTTTACCATACAATTATAAGAAATGCAAGGTTGTATGAAACTAAATTGAGCCTATTAGAAATGAAAATGTTGAATTGGATGAATGGACAAACTAGACTAGATAGGATTAAAAATGAAAATGTTTGATAAAAAAAGTAGAAGCATTTATGGTAGAAACTAATCTTATGTGATTTTGGGCAAGTGTGAGAAGACCTAGGGAAGCCCCAATTATAAGAGTAGTGTTGAGTCTGTTATGTTTAATCCGTTATATTTTGTTGGGTCTGTTTTCATTTTTGTTCAGTTTGTTACTTATTTTATCCGTAAGTTCTGTTTGGGTACGTGTCAATTATTTATCTTTGTCTTTCTACAGTGAAAGCTTATTTAAAGGCCTGATTTCTATTCAATAAAGTATTCATTCATCAATTTGTCTTTAGATATACTTTGATATCTCTACAAATTGGTATCAGAGCTCCGTACTAGGGCCTGATATAAAAGAAAAAGTAGCAGACTTTGAGTGATTCATAAAATGAGTGAGGACAAGAATTTTGTGCAACCTGCCATACCGCGTTTCGATGGTCACTATGACCACTGGAGCATGCTTATGGAAAACCTTTTGAGATCAAAAGGCTATTGGAATTTGGTGGAGAATGGTTACGTAGAACCTACAAAAGGAGTGGAGTTAACCGAGGTGCAACAGAAGAAGTTGGAGGATCTAATGACGAAAGACCTCAAGGTTAAAAATTATTTGTTTCAAGCCATTGATAGAACAATTCTTGAACAAATTTCGGAGAAACACACATCAAAGCAGATATGGATTCAATGAAGAAAAAGTTTGCAAGGAATGCAAGAATTAAGCTTTCAGCCTTGCAAGCACTAAGGAGAGATTTTGAAGTTCTAGAAATGAAAGTGGGAGAAACCATAACTGAATATTTTGCTCGAGTTATGAGCATAGCAACCAGGATGAGGACCAATGGAGAAGATATGAAGGAAGTCACCATCGTGGAAAAAATTCTTAGAACATTAACTGAGAAATTCAATTATGTTGTTGTCTCAATTGAAGAGTCTAAGGATATTGATAAACTCACTGTTGATGAACTTCAAAGTTCTCTAGTTGTTCATGAACAAAAGTTTATCAGACCAAGTGAAGAAGAACGGGCATTGAAAGTGAGTTCAGATAATTCTTTTGGCACAAGGGGAAGAGGTAGAGGAAGAGGACGTGGGAGAGGGAGAGGCAGGCAAAGTTTCAATCGAGCCATGATTGAATGCTTTAAATGCCACAAATTAGGCCACTATCAATATGAATGTCCTTTGTTGGACAAGGAGATGAATTATGCAGAATTTGATAATGAAGAAGAAATACTACTCATGTCTCATGTTGAACTTCCTCAATATCATACAAGCATGGTTCCTGGACTCCGGATGCTCAAATCACATTTGTGGGGATAAATCAAAATTCAATGAGATGGATGAATTGTTCAGGCATGTGGTAAAGCTTGGAAACAACACGAAGATGAATGTGTTTAGCAAGGGAAATGTGAAACTGAATATAAATGGTGTCACTCACGTGATACAAAATGTCTTTTATGTACCTGAACTCAAGAATAATCTCTTGAGTATAGGTCAGCTACAAGAGAAAGGGCTAATCATCATGACTAAGTCGGGAATGTGCAGTATATATCATCCTCAAAAAGGGCTAATCTTACAAACTATTATGACTTCAAACAGGATGTTTATATTGCCTGCGAAGATTCCAAAGAAAAAGGAAGAAATATGCTTCAACACCACAATACAAGAGCTTCCTCACCTGTGGCATTGCAGATACGCTCATCTCAGTCACAAAGGTCTACAATTACTTCAGACTAGTAAGATGGTACGTGGTTTGCCTTTGTTATCTGGCTCTACAATTATGTGTACTGATTGTGTTAAAGGCAAACAACACCATGAGCCAATTTCAAAAAAAGGCCAGTGGAGAGCAAGCCAAAAATTGCAGTTGGTTCATGCAGACATTTGTGGTCCCATTGCACCAGCATCTAATAGCCAAAAGAGGTACGCCTTATACTTCATAGATGATTATTCTAGAAAAACATGGGTATATTTCTTATTAGAAAAATCAGAAGCATTCCATCACTTCAAGTGTTTCAAAATGCTTGTTGAGAAAGAAAGTGGGTTGCCCATTAAATGTCTACGCACAGATAGGGGAGGAGAATTTAATTCGACAGAGTTCAATGATTTTTGTAAGTTGAATGGGATAAAGAGGCAGTTAACTACAGCTTATACTCCTCAACAAAATGGAATAGCTGAACGTAAAAACAAAACCACAATGAACCTAGTCAGGTCAATGTTGTCTGAAAAAGGAGTTCTAAAAACTTTTTGGCCTGAAGCTGTGAAGTGGACAATATATGTTCTAAACCAATCTCCTACATTGGCTGTTAAAGGGATGACACCAGAAGAGGCTTGGAGTGGTGAAAAACCTTCAGTTGAGCATTTTAGAGTATTTGGATGTATAGCACATGCACATCATTCCAGATGCTAGGAGGACAAAATTGGAGAATAAAAGTGTTAGATGCGTTCTCCTCTGAGTTAGTGACGAATCCAAGGGGTACAAGCTATATGATCCTACCTCAAAGAAGGTTCTAATAAGTCGAGATGTTATCTTTGAAGAAGAAAAACAGTGGAATTGGAATGCAATCGACAAAGAAGAATTGCAAGTGGATTTAAAATGGGAGAACAACGAGTTTGATGAATATGAACAAACTCATGCAAACGCAAATGAGGAGAAAGAAATAGGTGAAACTGAGGAGAATGGAGATCAACATGATACAACTCAAAATGTTATAAATGAAGAAGGCAGAGTGAGACGTGCTCCAGGGTGGATGGAAGATTATGTGTCAGGAGAAGGATTGTCAGAAGAAGAAGATATTATGCATATGGCCTTCGTAGATCCCGCAGATCCAATATGTTTTGAAGAGGCAGTAAAAGATGCTAAATGGAGACAAGCCATGGAAGATGAAATCACAGCCATAGAGAAAAACCATACTTGGAAATTGGTTGAATTACCAAAGGGTGCAAAGAAGATTGGGATCAAATGGGTATACAAAACCAAACTAAATGAACATGGAGAAGTGGATAAATTCAAAGCACGACTGGTGGCCAAGGGGTATTCACAAAAGCATGGAATTGACTACAATGAAGTCTTTGCACCAGTAGTTAGGATGGATACTGTCAGAATGGTAATAGCACTTGCTACACAACGAGGGTGGAAGATTTTTCAACTTGATGTCAAATCTTCCTTTCTACATGGAACCTTAAGCGAGGATGTGTATATTGAACAACCAAAAGGATATGAGAAGAAAGGTGAGCATATGGTTTATAAACTTCACAAGGCTTTGTACAGTCTAAAACAAGCACCACGGGCTTGATTTAGCTGCATCGAGTCTTACTTTGTTGGGGAAGGTTTTCAACAAAGTCAGAATGAGCAAACACTCTTCTTCAAATGGAGCAAGGAAGGTAAAATTCTTATCATCAGTGTTTATGTAGATGACCTCATATACACTGGAAATGATGAGCTCATGATGAATAATTTTAAGTGGTCTATGCAAAAAGAGTTTGATATGACAGATTTAGGAAAAATGAGATTTTTCTTGGGAATTGAAATGTTGCAGTGTTCAGATGGGATTTACATATGCCAAAAGAAATATACTCAAGAAATTCTGAGGCAATTTGGCATGGAAGAAAGCAATTTAGTATGCAATCCTATTGTTCCAGGTAATAACTTATGTAAAGACGAAGGGAGAGTCAAGGTGGATGAAACTCGTTTTAAACAAATGGTTGGTAGTCTGATGTACATCACAACTACACGCCCAGATTTGATGTTTGTGGTTAGCTTGATCAGTAAATACATGTCTCGACCAACAGAAATGCATGCGAAAGTGGCTAAGAGAATTTTCAGATATTTGAAGGGTACTGAGAACTATGGGATCCTATATAAAAGAGGAGAAACTGAAGAACTGCTGGCTTTTATTGATAGTGATTATGCTGGAGATGTTGAAGATAGAAAAAGTACATCAGGATATGTATTTCTAATGGGTGAAGGTTCAGTTGTTTGGTCCTCTAAAAAACAACCAATTGTTACTCTCTCCACAACAGAAGCTGAGTTCATTGCAGCAACTAGATGCGCCTGTCAAGCAATTTGGATGAGAAGGATTCTAAAGGAATTAGGATATGATAAAAAGGGAAGTACTGACATAATGTGTGATAATTGCTCTGCTATAAAATTGTCCAAAAATCCAGTTATGCATGGAAAAAGTAAACACATAGATGTGAGGTTTCATTTTCTTAGGGATCTTACAAGAGATGGAGTTATTCAGCTGGTTCACTGTGGAACACAAGACCAAGTTGCAGATGTAATGACCAAGCCTCTAAAATTAGACTCTTTTCAGAAATTTCGAAAGTTGCTTGGAGTGTGTGAAATTTCAGAATTAAACAAACTGCATGACTGCAATTAGTTTAAGGGAGGGTTTGTTGAGTCTGTTATGTTTAATCCGTCATATTTTGTTGGGTCTGTTTTCATTTTTGTTCAGTTTGTTACTTATTTTATCCGTAAGTTCTGTTTGGGTACGTGTCAATTATTTATCTTTGTCTTTCTACAGTGAATGCTTATTTAAAGGCCTGATTTCTATTCAATAAAGTATTCATTCATCAATTTGTCTTTAGATATACTTTGATATCTCTACAAGTAGATCAAATGGAGGAAGCCCCA